TGACTCCGATGATTCGCGAGCAATTGCAGTTTGTAAATACGCACGGATTTAATTAGTATAAATAACTAATTTTTATTTTTGTTAACTTTCACATGCGCTCATTGGCTAAAGTTGAACAATCCATATGTTTATTGTGGCAAATACTTACAATTACTTTACAATATACAGCTTTTATACTGCAATTTTTTTATTCCGCGTTTTACCCTCTATTCCGCTTCCGTCATTCCGCCATTCCGTTTCCGCGTTTTATCACAACCCAGGTAAGTTCCTTTAACATTGGAAGTTTCTACCCTTCTTTGTTTTAAGTACATTTTCTAAGTTCTTTGTTTGTTTAGTTAATTCTATTTTTTTGTTGTAACGCGTGAGAACTTCAAACGTGATGAAAGAGTGAGTACTGCTAATGACGTGAGCTTGAATTATGTTTCCCAGTAATTACCGTTAGTATAAATAGATGTAAATAATTAACTCTAACAGATAGCGTAGAAATACTTTAGTGATGTATTGTACTTGCGGCTTGTAAAAGAAAAGGTTCAAAACGCGAAGAGTGTTAGTGAACCAACTCCTCGACAAGAACACAGCAGATTTTGAAGGTCTAAAGAAAAATCCAGGTAAATTAGAATTATAGAGCATAACGAAAACACTGGTGATATTGATTCTGAAGAATGTATTCTTTATTTGTGAAAGTTCATTTGGCGATTTGCCGTGTCGGGTAAACCTTAATAATTTTTTATGTGTGAAACACAATGTTGCAAAATATACGACACAAACACATTTTACAATTGATGCATTACTCAAAAATATTATATAGCAGAGTCATCATTTTGATACTGAATACTCTATTGTTACAGTATCCGTACATTTGCACAGCTCATTTTTTAGAATTATATAATTTCTGGACTATTTAATACGTATTGAAGAAAACGTTTTGTTTTCTATGGTTTTGGTTGTGTGACACTGACAGGTTTTTTTTTCGTTACTTAGCCTTACTACGTATAACCCTTAAAATCCTTAAATGAGTAAAACAGAAAACTGCAAATTAATTTTAAGATGACTGACGAATAAACGAACATTTGTTCATTTTTCTCTAATTTTTGGCAAAACTCTCAAACATATGCTGAGATAAACTTTTCATAATTAAATAACATTCATGCCTTCATGTTTGGTTGTATTAATTTACATAAATCTACGTATTTGTACAAGTAGAAATTTTACATCTCATTACCATTTTCTAAAAACAAGGTAGTGAATCATGGCAAGTCGCAAGCCAGAAACGCAAATTAGCTTTTCTATAATCAATTAGCGCTGGAGACAAAGCTAATATCAAATTCACAAATAATCGCGCACATAGAAGCTTTGCTTAACAAGAAAGCCGAAGAGCCAGTGCGTTTTAACTGAATAATTAATTACTTGTTTTCAATTATAGAAAACTAGATTAACATGTTGGCATTAAGTCCTGTTCAAAACGCCTTGGTCGAGTGAAAGATGCCAAACGAGTCGGTTTACAAAACAGTGATAAATTTTCCATGGCTCCAAAACTTTTAGGAAACTGTATTTGACTTCTTTCAACTATCACATTCAAATAAGAACAATTAGCTAATATTTTCTATCAGCTATATTTACAGGCTGTAAGTTTTTGTCTTGTCTTTCGAAATTTACTTTTGATTACATTGAATAAAATAAATTTAATGTTTTAGTAGCCAAAGACCGAATATAAAAGCATAAAAATCAAACAAAAAAATAGGGTTATGAAAAAAGCTCTCCACGATTTTTCAATCTTAATTCAATTTATCTTGAACTGAATATTTTCTACTTTCGCAGCTATATTTTTAATTTCTTTGTTGATATTATCTTTTTTCCTTTTGTACTCTTCCGCTTGCTTCAAATTCCCATTTTTCTTATTTATTTGGGAAAGAGCTTCGTAAATTTCGACGAGCCATGGATGATTTTTTGAAAGCAAATTTTCGATTATACTTAAAGCTTTTAGAAGATTTTGCTTTGCTTCTTCATTTCTTCCAGTTTTGAGAAGACATTGACCAATAATTAGGCGGATTTTAGCAATTCCAGGATCATGAAATTTAAGGATTTGTTTTTTTCTATTTTCCAGAGCTTGTTGTGCGTAGGATAAGGCAAGATTGCAGTCTGGTGAGCGTTTTAAAAACATGTATTTCGCTAAACTTTCCTGTACATTGGATATTTTATCTTTATCTTTAATATTCAGGTAGATGCTAAGAGCTTTATCCAGATTTTGTTTTGCTTCATCGTAGTCACCATTTTCTACTTTGCATAAGCCAACATTTTTAAAAGATTCAGCCACTAGAGGATCGTGGCTTTCCTCCTTACATGACTGCTTTCTCAATTCTTGGGCTTGGATAATGAAATTTAGGGCCTTTTCTTTTTTTCCTAGTTCTAAAAAGCATAACCCCAAGTCATTTAGTATTTCTGCCTTCTTGAGGTGATCTATTGTAATTTCTATTGCCTCCTTGTAAAGAGTGACAGCTTCCTCAAGTTGTCCAAGTGTTTTTTTGTATCTTGCTTTAAATGCTTGTACTTGGGCACGTCTTTTGTCATCACTGATCTCACATTTGTCGATCTCATTAAAACAGATCTCTGCGTCGTTATAACGAAAAGTTAAGAGGTAACAGTCTACTTTTTCAATCAAGTTATCAATAATAAAGTCATCATACTTTGGGTCAACATACTTTGGGTCAGCTTGATGATTTTCAAGTTCTTTTACGTTGAAATCAAATGAGCTGATCGCTCGCAGATATTCTCCTCGTTCTTTTTGACATTTTGCAATGTCATAAGAGATCTTGAACATTGTACTATCACTGCTGACTTTCTTTTGCAGACGTTTGCTTATTTTGTACGAAAAAATTGCCTTCTCATGTTCTTTATTTCTTTGGTACGCAAGTCCTGCCGCTTTAGCTAGTTGTGCTGCAATGATCAAATTGGTTTTCTGATGAAATTTTACTTTTTCAACAAAAGCCAGGACAACAGCCATTGCAGTAGCAACAACGTCAACGAGAAACAAGCCATTTTGAACCTTTTCTTCTTCCATAGCATCTAACATGCTCTGAACATCGGTTTCATCAAAATTGAATCGTTTTAAGTTCTCGCCACGTGGGGACAACCTTGGAAATATGATGCCACTTAAACTGTAGTTTTCTGCCATACTTCTAAACACCGCTATTTTATCAGTGGATTTATTCACAAAATAGCGAAACCAACCTAAAAGACTACTACTGCTAGAAAGAATTTCTGATTCCCGAGGCAAATCGGGAGGTGCAATCGATAAAGTAGAAACTATTTGGGCTTTTTCAAAAAGTTCCTGGGCTCGAGGAATTGCTTGTTTCAAAGGACAATTTCCATCAATACCGCCGTTGACAAATTTATCATTGCCAATTTCTACTGGTGTGTCAAAGTAAAATGGAGCATTTAAAGTTGCGAGCAAGACTTCGCAGGCCTTGTAATTCCCATATTCTTCTCTTGCAGTATCAAACAGTATGAGATCTTTGTCTTCGCCCAGTTTTCTGGCTACAGCACCGGCCTTGGGCTTAGAGGGATCCTTTCCGTCAAAATCACTTAAGCGGCAATCACCAAACTGATTATGCAAAATTTTCTCCAAGTTGTCACGTGAATACGTTACTAGTGGAATACTAGACAACATGGGTGCGTGAGAAAATAGCCTGTGTAAAAACGAGTTCTGGAATACACTTCTTGTGTTGTCGCAATACATCTGAATGCACTCATCAACACTCATCCGTTCTCTAGTACTGTGGTCGCTTCCAAATCTTTTTCCACCAACCAAACAAAACGCGCTCAAAGCTCCAGAATTGTTACCAACAATCATGTCGTACACATCGGTGGGATGAATGGGATCTTTAACTGCTTTCAAGTCACTGATCAGACGAAGTCTAACATCTTGATGTCCTAAGAAATTAACCTCGCTTTTATTTAACTCTTCATTCCCAAGATGGCTCACCGTCTTAGGATTTCTCAAGACAATTGTTGCTAATCGTAAAACATCATCTAAAATCTTAAGTTCCATCACACTTCGACTTCCTCCACCATCAAAAGACAATATATTAATATTCCTTTTTGTTGAATCCTCTTTGACGTTTGAAATCTGCATGTAAAAGCGATTAAGTAGTATATTTTAATGATTTCAACAACCCATCCCTTCCCCTGGAAACCAGCAAATCGTTTTGGTGAACAAGAGATCGATCCAGTTTTAAATCTGATCATGGCTACTGACCAAAATAGCAGTTTGTCGTGTATGCAATCATTAACCTGTTCGACTTAAGAATTTTGCCAAGTTTCTGTTGTGGATTTCGTGGGAATAATTTTAATTGTCGTCTTGTGTTTATTTGGGTATTAAGCATATTATGCGTCACAATTATGTATTAACAACTTATTGTATATGAAAAAATAAAAATATTGTCCGACTATCAGAACAGACAACAAAAATTGTACAAATCAGATTTTTTGCCAAACATTTTTGATGCTTTTAGCTAAAATAGAGAAGGCTCCGAATAGCTACTTTTGAGAATCGTTTCCTTTTCATAAGGCTTACATAGAAAAAAAGCGTATTTACAACGTATCGAGCTTGAACGAAATAACTTCTTTTGGAAGTATCATCCTTCGAAATATTGTGCTTTTAAATGATAGTTACTGATCTCAGCCATGTGGTGCAACTAGCATTGTTGGTCTTATTATGTAGAGTTTACAAAATTATTATTTATTTCTTCGAAAATCTTTTTTTAGTGAGTGAAGACCAAAATATTACCATAACTTGAGTACAATAAACGGGCTGAGCGCATGCCTCGCTGATTTTAGCTTACAAACCATCAAGCATAGAAAGACGGAGTGCAACATGACAAACAAAGTCGCTTACACAAAATCAATGGATTTTTGTGCGCTTGTGCTGTAATGAGCATTGACGCAATTGTTTTGAGTCATTTATCGGAAAATTTATGTAAATGAATATTTTTACAACGCACCTCATTTGACTGGAGAGAAGAGTTTGCCTTCCGTGTTTGAAGTTGGCCACGATAACTTAGAAAGCCAGGACAAAATAAAACTTTATTAAAAGTGAAAGGTTTTATGATTCGTGAAGTCGCTGCCCAAAATAGACGTTCAGTGGCCATCGCAGGAGGTTACTATTTAAAAAGGAATGTCAACAAATTGAATGCTAGGCCATTCTGCACTAATTACCAATGTTAGAACACTGCTTGCTTTAAAAAAATTTGTCGTTTATTTTAAATGTCTTATAACCATTGTGCTCTTACGAAATTATGGCAATGTTAGAACATTCAGATTTAAATTACACTATTTGCCAAACCAGCAACTACATTGCACGGGGACTATAATGTCCTAACTAGAAAAAATTATGTGGCTATTAGCTAGCAAGAACATCATTAAGAAATTTCTAACAAACTCAACAGAATTTTTACATAGTATACATTCTCTTTTTACAATTGTAAATAACGTCTAACAGCACATTACCCATGCAATTTTATCTGTAGAATACACAGTTTTTGATTAAATATCAGAATGACATAGGATTAACACAACTCAAAAAATAAGGTGTTTCCTCAACAAGAATGAAGTTATAAAAATATTCAATCAACAAAAGACCTATAATACTGGCATTTATCACTGAGCAGCAATTCAAATCAGCAATTACTTGAACAAATTTTAAGGCTTCAACAGAAGTTTTAGCTACTCATTTGACTTGATATGAAAATAAGCAACCTTCGACATGCACCTATAGTCTGTCTATATAAATGCAAAGTTGATCTATGCTCTACGGAATAAAGTATGAGGTATTTGTAGATAAAAAACTAACTGTTGATTTTTACAAACTAAAATCCTAAAACAGTTATTTCAAAATAGCACGGTTCCAAATATTAGTTTTAAATTATCATAAAATGAAATTGAATGTTCTCAAACAGACACGTTAAAACGGCTTGTTCTAAATAACTCCCCTCTTTGAAAATATATGGACATATCGATTTGGAGGATGAATTTGGTTGAAATAAGAGTAGTCTGAACTGCTTTACAATTGCAAATTGTTCACAATACATCGCCTTCATATCGCAAAAATTGGTCATAATTCAACTCATATTCTGTTGTTGAAATGCACATGCTACAAAAAAAACCAGCGCGATATAATAAAGAAGTGCGAAATATGGCTTAATACGGCTTAGTACATAATTGAGAAATTAACAGCGATAGGAAAAAATTACATTGTTTTTAGTGTTAAAGTACAAAGTAGGTTTGATTGTTCTGTTCACGTTTAGTAGTGAAAGAACAGTTTATTCTAAGTGCTATATATGTTGACTAATTAAAGTATGGTAAAATATTGACATGACAATCTTTCTTTAATCAAAAAGGTGTTATATCAAAAAAGTTTTCATTTTTTTGTTAATTAAGTTGGAGCAATTTAAAAGACCGTATTTTCAATCACCGCAATGGAAAGGGTGGCGACAACGGAGTCAACCATTTATACTTCTTTATACCAATACCTTATACTTTATACCAATTTATACTTCTTACGACATGTGTCGCGCGACACTCTGGCTTGTGCAATCTATGGGCACGCGCCATCCGACAGTCAAATATAGCATTTATAGTAAACGCGACAACCCATGCGACAACCGCGCGAAATCTGCATTCAAATTCAAAATTATGTTGATATTTACATCAAGTAGTGCATTGGCAGCATTATTAAAATTCTTTGTGAATCAAATGAATTCATTTCTGCTAAAATGCTAGACAACCACGACACGCTAATGACAATAGCAGGTATAATTTTTCCGCCAGGATTGCCACTCTTCGATTTTAAACGCTTTTTGGCTTTCGTAAATCGGTCTCGTATTTTCTTCCATTTTTGTCTGCAAACAGCATGATTTGTTTCGAGCTTTTCGCGATTTCCTTCCATGAATTCGTGGTTTTTTGTAGGTCTTTATAATCCCTTCTAGACGAGTCTTATATATATGAGGGTATTTCCTAACTTCTTCCGCTAATCTTTCTTCGAATCCATCCATGATTTAAAATTTTTTCATATTTGTGATAAATATATGCTGAGACAAACACAAATGACTAACCACGTGTTATTAGATAGCCAATTATCTTGCGCGACAATTCGACAAAATGTCTGCGACGTTACAACTTTTTGCGAGGCGCACGTGTGCGACAATACGGTGAAATTACGTCAAATGTTACTTCCGTTTTGGTGATATGACGTCATATTCCTCATGCGACATGGCGCGCGACACTTGTCGCACGAAGTATAAATTAGCCTTAAACTACCATGAATTCTATGTCAACTCATCGCATTTGCAAGTTTAGGAAATACGTTTTTAAAACTGCATTATTCAAAATAATTGTTTATAACTATCATATTTTTTCAAAACAGCTTAAGCGAAACTTTATCGAAATAGCATACTAAAAAAGCTAACAGGCAACAGCAATTTAAGAAAGTATCTATTGAAATCGCATATTTTAAATAGTTTCTTTTGAAATGGTATCGGTTAAAATAGAATGATTTGAAATGTTTCTGATCGAGAATAGATATCATAAGACCTATAATTGTCAGACTTTTGGCTATTTTGAAGATGGATTTTGGTGTACTTATGTGTAACGGTTATAGTTCATCATTTTCCCACATGAAATGTAAAACTATCAACAAGCATTGTTCCACGAGCAAATGTACTTATTCATTTTATGTATAATTTATGCATATAATTATTTTCATGACACGCCTCTGTCACTGGGAAGAAAGAAATTGTTCACGTGATAAAGTCGTGATAACTTTGCAAATCTTGTAAAAAAGATGCTGTTTATTTCGACAAGAACGGAATTTGTAGAAATGTCTTCCCTAATTAGACGTGCGGTCGTAATCAAAAGCCACAGAAGGTTCAGATTTAGCTAGGAATATTAATACTAGCGTATCGATTTGACTATCAATGATGCTACCATCAAACTACTTTACACGAACCGATTTCCTTACTAGCTATATGAAGGCTATAATGCAAGTATATAAAATAACAACATTTTTGTGCTCTATTTTTAACGAATCAGCAGAAGTTTTAACATTTTTATATTACACCTACTCTTTAAACTATTGAAATTTTCTTTGAAAAAGTTATTTTATCTTGATCCCACTGCAATACGAAAAATGCTTGAACACACACGTTGTCTTTGTGCAACAGATCAATTAGTTGATATAAAGAACTTCTAGCTTCTATATATTGTATTTAATTGTATGAACTGCGCAAAAATTCCTGCTCGCAATCTTACATGCTTTTGTGCCTTCAGCTAAAGCAAGTCGTACTTGGTGATACTTTGTATAGTTACACTGGTATCAATTCAACCTCACACGGAGTAAATGCTTTACATGGTTGCAAAAATTTATAAAAGTACATCATGTATTAAGAGTTGCAATTTCAACAAGTTGAGATTGGCATAAACATTCTTATAACACCCACTCTCAAAGCTTATAAAAATTGTGTTGAACAGAAACATTGCATATTTTACCAAGAACACTCATTCATAAGACTTTAGTGAGTTCGACGTTTGAAACAGGCCTAATATAGAAAAGAAGTAGAAACGACATCTCTTCGCAAAATAAATCCTTAGACATCATACTTATGGCTTCGAAAGAGTGCTTCATCGAATATACTTAAAGTACAAATGTTTATATGATTGGTGACGTGGAATGTGAAAAATTGATTAAACGGAACAGGGTAATTACATGCAAAAAACCGAGACGCAACTCTTAAGAATTACAATAAAGGTTTCACTATCAGTGTGTGTTTTACAGCAGCTTAATAAGTATGACCACTACTTAAACGTTGCTACATTGAACTAGCCAAGCTCACAAATTTACATCAAATAAGTTCGTTGTCAGCTTATGACACTTCAGCAATTTTGCAGAGCAATCTGCGTTTTTTTTGTGTGAGAGTTTGACTTAAATAGGTAATAAGGATTTATCTTTCTATGTTCCCTTTAATACTTGATATAATAATAGATATAATGTAGATTCTAAAGTGCTATGCCACAGCATGGTAGCTAGAAAATAATTTCAAAATATGTACTTGCTCAAAAATTAAAGTTGAAATCTACAAGTGTCACGGCAATAAACAAGACTCCACGGTGGAAGTGAAATATACGAGACATTATGATATATACTGCAAAATTATCAAATGCAAAATGGCGTCAAACGATTCGATTCGGTGTATTCAAAACTCTTTTAATTCATTTTTACCAATTTATTGTTGAGTTCACTGATTCAGACTAGTTGCACGAAGAATTTTCCCTTGAAAGACTTATCTTCATTAATTTCTATAATAGATTTAAGTATGAGGAAATTGGTATGTTTTCAAGAAAACATCATGAAATACAGTATGTTAAGCATTTAGCATTGCTACAATTAAAAGTCTAATGGCCAGTTTTGAGCGAAAAACGCGAAATATTGACTACAACTAAGATGACCTTGAGAGATAAATTACGGAGTTCGTTGACGCATATGTTTGCTTAAAAGACATTGTTCCGTTTGGCATAAACTTCAGTTAAACAAAAGTGTACCCACATAAGTTCCTAAACATGCTGTGCAGTCAGTTTAGCGAGAAATTGACCTAGAAGAAATCTAGAGAAAAAAGTGTCATCGACTTAAAAGAAGAGCTTGCTATAATCCGTCCTAACTACAACGTGGTAGATACCAGTAACGGATCTAGCGATGCATCTGGCACAACACATAGAATTGTTCTCATGTAATCGTGTACGCTATTTTGATTGGATACTATAACGGACCCGAGCTGAAACTTAGCCCGGGCTGAAATTGCTTTATGTAATTGATCCTTTACTTAGCTAAAACTTCTGCCAGCCATTTTTATTGTTTTTTTTTTACAATAACTTGAAGTGTTTTATTCGAAAATTTGTGCTAAGATTCAGTAGCGTGGTGGTGCAATTTTGACTGCGGGGGCCTGTTGCATGTCAATGTCACTCCACATGACCTCCTTGTGAGAGATGAATTCTAGATAGAGATATATAGCACGCGCACGATATATACAAAGAAACTGATGTATAATTGAACTCAAAAATCTAGCATTAAAAACCATTACAGGGCCAAAGCAAATTTTGCACCCCCTTCACCTTTGAACTAATGAAATTTGCAGTACATGCCGCAGTATTATTGAGTCTCGATACTTTATGTTAGCCTTTGCATTTTGATTACACTTTACCGATTACTGCGCTACCATTAGAAAATTAAAAATAGGTAAGCGAATAGCGTAAATGACTAATATTTAATTAGCTACATGAGAAATCACTAGAGAAGTCCGACGGTCATATTTTTGTAATCATAACATAAATATTATAGATCATTTATCAACAAAAATGATAATTTTGTTTCCAATTACCACCAACTAAAAGTCCGTTTCTTAGTTTATTAGCTCGCGCTCTATGGACAACTGATTTAAACGACTGAAACAAGTCGGACGACTGTTTGAGAGGCAGGCTTCAGTCAATGACTAAATAGACCTGCTAAGTAGGCTTGCCACTCTAACAAGAGTAGCGACGTCCTCAAGAAATCTCAAAAATTTTAACAAAAAATTAATTTTTTTTCTCTTCAATAGAGAATCTTCACAACAAAATCTTATACAATTATATTTCTATTTTTAATCCTACGGAAGGTCTTGTATTGTAGATGATTGATGTTCAGTATTAATACTAATCTTTGGTATACCTGTATGATATTTTGAGATGTTTATTTCAACTATTGCCAGTAAAATTTTACGAATTTCCTTAATTTCATACTTTCGAATATTTTCCTTAACGCATCATCGTCATGTAGTCGTGTCAATTCGTGAATTGCCGTCCTAGCACCTGGACATCTGGACATTTTTTAGTATAACATTGTGGTTAGCCTGTAAGCAGGCTACCCACAAATAATATTATTAAGCATGGATTAATAATAAGATGCAATGCCAGTAACGATTCCTGTCTGTGGGAGAAAGCCAAGAAAATTGATTGAAATAGGCAAAAACTGTACAATTTTAGGCCTTGTTGCGCCCCCTAAGAGGACATTAAATTTGGCCCTGTATGTTGTCTACAGTTATTGTGACAATTGACAAGTCAGGTGTTGTAGCCACATAAGAAACATCAAGAATGCTCCTCAATTACTTTATTCCTTAATACATTGTAAAACGACCCCCCTTACAAGGTTTCATTTCGATCAGTCTTCCTTTTTCCCAAAGTTAACTTCATTTACTGTATATTATAACTGTGGAAATAACTGTTCTGCTTCAATTCATTTTTCTAGCCCAAATTTAAAACTTCGTGACTCATATTCATTTCTGCGCCCCTCCAGAAATCAACAGCTAGGGGCCTCGGCCCCTGCCCCGCCACTGCTAAGATTGCTTAAATAATGTAGACTTACTATACAGTAATAACTAGGGGAATTAAAGCACATATATTAGCGAATGGGGAACGAAGTAAAAGGTTAAAAATGAACAAAACAAGAAACTTCTTTTACATCAAAACCATTGTGCTGCTTTACAGCTTCCCTTTTCTCTATTTGTTCGCATGTCTGTATTTTTTATTTAGTAACCGCCATAGCGAACAATTCAACCTGTTAGTGGCCATTGCTTGCGAAAATGAAATTACGAAACGAATCTGGCCCCAAGAGAGTCACAACACGATGCTACACACATTGTGTGTCCGCCTAAAAGTTTGTCAATCTTGAGTTCTTTAACGCAACAAGAATCACTTTGGCAATATCGCCAGACATCAGAAACCAAAAAATTAAAAAAATTTTTTCTTTGAACAAACGTGTCTACTTAAATATGGCAAAATTCGTGTAAATCAGACGTACCTGTGTCGAGAGAAGTGAAGAGCTTGTTCAAATCAGAAATTTGTCAATATACCGTAAAAAGTCTTGAGAGAAATGATGGTATCTGATTCAATGCGATTGCTTTTAGAATTTGTGAAGCTCCTTATCATAGCAGACGTAGAGTCGCAGTCAAACACTGCTGGTTGCTATCTAAGATAGAAGGAATGTTGATGAAATTGAACGAATCTTATTCGTTGGCAAATAATTAGTTATGCTACTAGCAACTGTTGCTACAACAAAAATGTTTAATTAAAAACAGTGGATTTTAGTAAATGGACAGCTGTTTTTACATTTGTAGTTCACCCATTTGATCTAAACTCTCTGAAATTATGTCCTCTCATTTGTATTTAGCATTTCCTTGACATATAGACTTAGCATATCTTATAAAACTTAAATAGTCTGCAAGTGCAGAGTGTCAAGTCACGATAAAACTTTTACATACATAAATTATTCGTAATAACAGGAGCACTACATGCGGTCGTTTCCACAAGAACCAGCTAATGCAAGCCTGAAAATTTAACTAGCAATCTTATATTCTATAATAATAAATTACGTCAAAATTTATCCATCTTAGTTTCAGTGTGTTCTCCTCAAAACACTCCTTATTCATTTCACTTTAATATAATAGTGAAAGAAATAAATAAAATTCGTTTTTTTTCTTCCCCAAATGACAACTGACAAATTTGCATTATATAAAATAAAAACAATAAAACGCCTGCGTTGATTGGTTGATAGCTGAGCCTCAATTAAATCAATCAAAGAGTATTTGCTAATCAATCATGAATACATGTTAGAGGAAATATTAAAACCTCTGCTTTGAATTTATCTTTATCACATTATTGTTATTTTGTAAAAGAAATATAAAGATGTTTTTGCCCTGATCTGCTTTCGAGTTAACGAAGCAACTACACGATAGCAATTGGACTCTCTTATCTGTCCGGCCACCCCGCTTATCGGTCTAGGTTATTCCAGACCGTCCACTGATCTGGCTATTGACCGATGGAATAACTTAAATTAGCGTTCTTAAGCAGGAGCGGATCTAGGATTTTTCAAACATCAGTCATAAAACGTCGGAGGCGCTCCGTACCTGGGCGGGTCTTAGGAATTCACCCCTGAGAAATTTTGAATTTCAGAGCCTTGAAAATGCCATTTTCAGCGTTTTAGAGCAATACAAAATGTATTTTGTGGGCATCATTTTTGCGTAAAAACAACACATTTTGCTTACGTTTTGTTCAAAAAAAACTGAAGTGAACAATACTTGAATGTTTTCCCAAATATTTAGGCTCATTATCATGCCAAATATTGGGCTCATTAGCATGTCTAGGAGCGTAAAATTTATTTTACAATAATGCTATTCAAAAACAGATATAGTCTTTAAAAATTTCTACCAAGTTGTCAGGCATAGACCCCCCTAGAGACCCCCATTCAAACCTCTATGTAAGGAGTTAAGTTAGAAATTTGGTACTACAAGTGACAGTTCATAGATATAGAAAAGCTCAGACTTCAAACCATGCAAGTTTATTGTAACCCTTTACCCATCTCCACATCAGTGCCAGCAAATTCACCTTTTGAGAAAAGACTCAAAATTTTTTCTGCCAAAGATTAAGCAAAAATTATCAGAGTGAAAATTTGCAGTTAAGGACAGCTTAATGCCATAAATGTTTATTAGGCATTTCACTAGACTATTATCTTCTGCAAGGTGTGCTATATAGCAATCACTAATAGCATTGAATTTGAAAATACACACAGAATGCATTGTGTGAATTAGTTCAGAAAAAACGATGTGCAATTTTTTTGACAAAAGTGTTTCTTTAGAGGCATAGTCAAATCGATATTACGTTAAACATTATATAGCGCTAATTGCTAAATTAATATTTTTAAACGTGAACAAATTCATATGATTTACGACAGTGTTTTTCGTTAAAACCGCTGATTTTGGCTCATCGTTTAAAAAGTGATGTGCAATTGTTTTCATTTTAGCTAAAACGATGTGCAAATTGCACATTGCACACCGTTAATTCGCACACTGCAGAATGTAACCAACATGTCTGAATGTTAAAATTGGTTCATGTGTCATGCTTACTTGTTATGATAAATATTTTTTCATATGATCAAAGCTTTTTAAATGTAAATCTGAAATAATTTAGTTTAGAAATTATAATGATCATCAGAAAAATTACCTAGTGATCATGAAAAATACTTTGCTGTTTTGCCAAATTTCGAGGTTTATCTGCATACATAGAAAGAAATTTTTACTTTATAGAAAATGCTTTTCATGCATCAATAGCCCTTTGGAATTTATGGCAAACAATCTGGTATGAGCCGTCGATTAACAAACCTTTACATCTCTACATGAGGTGTTCAGTTCAAAAAGGGGACAATATGTGACATGGGACAACATTTCATGTATGTGAAAAACTCAGGTGTAATACCATTCCGGTTAAATTGTCAAAATAAAAAGCTTCATGGATTAGAAGACTCAAAATCACAGGTTATAGTAAACAGCTTCTCATGTAATCAATGTTAGTTTTCTCAAATCTTAAACAAGATGTAGTATAACTGTCCAACGTTTGAATGATCAATGATCATAAACTGAAAAGCCCCAAACATTTGTTTATGATAAAGTAAATAATAGTATGGCGCCTTATGGCTACAGATTTTTTTTCCATTGAAATATATTTGCAGGAATGTAGGATTTCGCTGCCATATAACGGCCACGACTCCCCAAGCACTAAAGAAATCATAGCTAAAAGTCCTTCGGCAACAATTTTAGAAGCATCAATCTGCTTGCCATACGCCATATTGACATATATCACATCACACATTCGCATAAATTGACTTTGATATATTACATTCATGCATACACTTCACTTGTCCTTTACCTGGAAGGACCCCATCCTGGAATAACCACATGCAGGCTGGTTCAAACTTATGCCACTGGTTGGCATGCTTTCTACCATGTGCCTAAGTAAGTTAACTCTATCTTGTATGAGTTAGAACAGGGCTTTTTCTTTCTTCTTTTACTAAAGATTGGTACTTGTGAACATCCGTTTTCGGTGCTTCTGTGTCCCGTCCTCGTCATCATTGAAACCCAAAATAAAACAAACTGCTTAAATTACAATAAAATTACATCCACAGATTGCCAATGAGCAAAATAAAAGTGCATGCATGATAATATGGCTTAATAATTTCGCAAAGATAAATCTTCTTTAAGACTGTTAAAGCATGATCACTTGTGAAGCTTGTCGAAGTAGAAATAAGATCATTTAGTCTAATTCTTGAGAAATTATATCCTACAGAGCACATTTCACCTTGCTCTAATCCTCAAACCGGAAATTATGTTTTGCTTTTAAGGCATGTTTTCCTACATTTTTTGTTAACATTTGATGTTGCAGTTAGGTTTGCCCTTCACAGTTATCTCTAGAGGAACTTGCTTCCTAGACATTCATCTGGACGAAGCCTAAAAAGTGCTTTTGTTAAGCTGGTTTGTTCAATATCTTTTACGAGCTGGAAAAATCTTTATTAGTCGTTCCCGGTGCTGGAGTATGTCCTTCAGGATCTTCCTTAGAAGAAATTTAGGGATCAATTTCAATATTTTCGCCAAACTCTTTCTCTTCCCTTGAATCGTAAACGATATATCGAATACAAGAAATCTGGACTGATACTTTCAAGTAAATGAAACACATCCTCATAAAAGAATGTTCTCCTTCGTTAAACAGTACGCCAGCTTCATCTTCAGTCATTGCAGGTAGATGATTGATTCTTTGAGATATGCAGGGCACCTGTTTAAAAATTAAAAGTGCATTACTAAGTTTTAGTGTAACAAAATCATGTAAACTCACAACAACAAGAAATAACTCACCAACCTTTAACGATATAATACTATTGTCACCAAGGTTAATTTAAGAAAGCTTTCACATACCGTAATTGGAAGGCCAGTGCTGACGCTGCTCTTGTATGGAGGGTTGTGTCTGCACGGACGGCGCTAGAACACTAATTGAGGGGTTTATATTCATATATATGAATATACACCCCCCCAATTAGCGTTCTAGCGCGTCCCTGCATGTGTGTCTGCTTTCTATTCAGAGTTGTTGTGATGTTGTTGCGAATGGAAATGAATATGAAGACAATGCAATGATTATCAATACAATGACTAAGCAACTGGAACAAACAGGATTATTTTTCTCAACTTTGATATCATTTTAAAATAGCAATAAACTTATGAAGGATGTTCAATTCATAAAAACCTTTTGTTGTATTCAATACTTAATTGACAAATTATTGTCCTATAAATGTCCTATAACTACTATAAATTTACTATTTTTCATATAAAAAGAAAATGATTTGAAAAAATATTTCAAAAAGTAATAAGAGAATCCAAGAAATCTCTAGCAACGTCAGCGAGCCAGCACGGCATTGTCAAAGCAACCTAAACCCACCAATGGTTATCACTTTCCCCGCAAATGATAACATTATAACGCAAGACCGTAAAATTGTTGATAAGACTTAGCTAATCTATTACCGAGTCTATAATCCTGATATTATCTTATCGTCCTGCATTTTTATCGCTTTTTCAACGGAAATGGACATCATTGCACTGAAAAACATTTTAGGCGTCATGGAGAATTTTTCCATTGTATTTTAAAAGACATCGGAACATCGTCATTCTGAGTTGAAACACACACTTGGAAGTATGCATGCAATGCAAAGTTGTAAAAAAGTTCTACATACTGCAGACAATCAACTACATCCCTTCTTAAATTGTTTATTTTCTCCTTCTGTAATTCACATAATGTTCAAAGTTTTTTCATGTTACAATCTGATGTATGGAATTGTCCAAAGTTTATTTTCTGCAGTCATTACAAAACTAACTACGTGGATGTACATTACATCAAACCAATGTAATATCTGCCTCATTTTTGCCAAACAAAATATCTCTGTGATTTTTCCAACTTAAATCATTTTTCACTTGTATTTTCTTGGTTATAACGTTTATGTCACAAGCTATCTTCTTCATTTTTTTACTAAAATTTTCAGCCTGCTACAACATTCCATCTTCATCATAAATTATGTAAAGCAGCTGGCAAATTTCAACTAACCATGGATTAGTTTCTAAAAAAACTTCTGATCATGTCCAAAGCCTTCAAGAGATTTTTCTTTGCTTCTTCAAGTCTTCCAGCTTTAAAAAAGCAGAGACCAACAAATGCTAAGTTAATGGCAATCCCAGGATTATTAGTATTGTCAAGGACACGTTCCTTCATCATTTCTAGAGCTTGTTGTGCGCAAACCAAATCAAAATTGGAATCTGATGGTTTTTCTAAAGACAAGCATCTTGCTAAATGTCTCAAAACAATGGAAATGTAGTTTTTTAATCCAATTTTTTCGTATATTTGTTTGGCATTCTCTAAACAGTTTCTCGCTCCAACGTAATCACCATTCTTAATTAGGCAAAGCCCAACATTCAAATGAGATCGAGCAATCAAAGGATGGTATACTTCTTGTGTTAACTCGTTTCTCATTGTTTCGGCTTGGCGAGTGAAATCAAAGGCTTCTTTCTTTAATCCAAGATTCAAGAAACATAATCCCAGATTATCAACTATTAGAGCTTGGTCAAGGTTATAGTTGTCAGCAACGAGTGTGGCTGCTTCCTTGTAAAGGTCGACAGCTTCTTCAAATTTTTCTTGTTCCTTCTTGCACCACGCCATGTTTGCTAAGACACGTACATATTTCTCCTTTTAGTCGATACGTGTTTCAATAAAACATTCATTGGGCAGATCCTTGCGAGAAATAAGGCTGATCCATTTCTTTCAAAAATATAGA